AAACGGCGTGAATTCAACAGGGCGTCGCAAGAATTTGGAAACGTCTATACGCTTCTCGCATCTAGGTTCGAGAGACAGGTTAAGACCCCAGCTGGAGGGACGCTAAGCCAACGATCGGCATGTTTTCTTTTGAAGTTCTTTCTCCCGCTGCCTCTTAGAATCAAAGCTGCCATGTCTGTCTCTCTGCTCTAAGAAAAAGAAATCGACTTTTCATTAATGCTATCTATGCAGTAACGCTGGGATCCAGAGACGGTACGGAACGCAATAACCCCAAAATGGAGTTTAGTTTCTTGTTTCTCTTCCAATGGAGTTGAGGTCTCCAGAAGGCAAATGATAACATAACCACATTTTCTACTCGACAGAAAGACATGACAAAAATGAATAAAACCGCCTTCCATAATCGAAAAGTAAGGATAATCAACCAACTAAAATTTGAGGAAACGTTGTTTATTTCGATTTTTTTCTATGCACCGCGTCCTTTCGGAAAATGGTTCTCCACATCTTCTCGCGTGGCTCTTAGCCGTTTTTAACGCTTTGCTAAGCTTTCCATTCACACAAGCGTGTCAGGTAAATGGCTCTGCCTTTCCCCTATCTCCCTAGCTGTAAATATACCACGTGAGTTTTTCAAGCCCTCTTTCCTCATTATCTGATCAAGGAATTTCATCTCTCTTTTCCTGATTCTGAGTAGAAATGTTCTTTCTGTTGCTATTTTCTTTAAGATTTCCTTGTTGCTTACTCGCTCCGTCCATGGAATTTATCAGTATCCTTCGGTAGTATCACATTTTTGCTGCTTACGGACATATTACGTTGAAACACCAGTTAAGCAACGTCAAACCTGGTCAGTACCTAGATGGGTGACTGCTTTGAAATACCAGGTTCTGTAAGCTTTGATGTGTGGGTCGTGTTATGGATGACATCTCTAATTTTTTAATCAGAGGCACGTGTTCCAATTCCTTTTGGGTTCGGTATATTCATTTATGCGGAAATAGCACTGGAAAAGGTATAAATGCACCTATTCTTTCCCCTAAGCTATGGGTTAATTAGTAAGATTTGTATCACTAAATTATTATTATCTAAAAAAACAAAACATATTTTCTGGCTTTAAATAACCTGCAAATGGTTGATAAACCGTAAAAAACAAATCAATCAAAAAATTGCTGCCTCTGATTTTCTCCTCATCCGTAGGCAGATTGTCCAGCATTCACTGTTTATATCAGTCAGTTATGTGCCATATGTGATACACGCTTAGACGATCATGTATCTTTCGATATATGAGTGACGTGACAGATTTTTTCCCCGCAGTAGGTTGTTTCTTTCTGCGGTAGACCAGTTGCCATTCAAGGATATAGAACCCGGTCTGTTCTGCTATTTACCCAGAGTTGGGGGGAGAAGAAGAAGATCCATACCTTTCCCAAGGGTATTAACACATAAGTGAATGTAATAGATTCGACTGGAATTCGAACTCGGCTCTCCGATTCATCACTCCAAGCCGCTATCCATTACTCCACCATTAATATGACCAATATTCTTTACTAACGGGTCATTCAGGATAACCTTTGCTCGCTAATGCAGGTCGAGTAGCCTTTATCCGAAATTCCAAAATCCGAAAACCTCCGAAATCCAAAAGTTTTCAGCTGCTGACTTGCCGCAAGTGGAACAATTCCGAAAGCACTGGGAAGGTTCCTAAGTGATGTGCAGCTGTTGCAAGTGTTCCCATCTGCCCTGTGTGGGTGTTGCTCAGCCTATCTCTGTAGCCTACGTTGGCGCTAGTTTTTTTGTTAACAATCGTCACAGCAACACCTTCGTTCACGGATTACTTACCAAGTGTTTCGTACTCAATAAAGATATTATTCAAAATGTGAAAAATTCCTGCATTTATATATTTTTTGTAAGTAGGGATCATGTTTTTGTTTTTTATATATATATATATATGTACAGAAATTACAAAACATTATTTTTACGTGAAATCTTAATTTCACCACTTAAAAATCCGCGTGGGCATTACACGACATTACCTGTATCTGTATGTACAAAAAATTTATTAAATTTTATATAAAAATTCGTTTATAGTATATGTTATTTATCTAAACCTATCTTCAGGATATATGTATACGCTGTGCTATGAAATGTAAAGGAATATTTTCTTTATTCATGGGTTCCATTCCCAAGCTGTCCCATTTTATAGGTGTTATATACAAAAAATCCGAAAAAAAAATCTGAAGCACTTCCGGTATCAAGATTTTCGGATAAAGGCTTCTCAAACTGTAGGTTCGATATGCTCAATGGTAAATGGAGACTCAAAATATGCAAAATTTATACATTCTTCTGTTTTTCGTTTATTTTGTTTTTTTGGAATTTTTTTCTTTTTTAAAAAATCCCAGTCAAACTTACAACACAAGACTTTGAAAAAACCGAAAAAATCAGCTTTCGAAACCTTAGCTTTTTAACCGAAACTCGAACATCGATCTCTAACGTTGAGGTGAAATGCTAAACTATTTCAGTCCCAAGATAGACCACGGTTTGTTTACAGTCTTTGGTTGCCAGGAATAAACATGTGTATGAATTTATTATCGGAGTTTCTCCAAAGCAGTGCAAGAAATCCAATTCTTTACGCTTATGCTGACTCGTTCTTGCGCTGCCTTTGTTAATCAAGTTAGCTTCTTAACTTGAACCAGACTCTCTCGCCAAAAAACAAATAATTATCCATCTGTTGTGAATTGTTAGCGAGAAAATATATTTCTTTTACTTTCTTTTTACTAACAAAACGTGGAAAACTTTTTTTTTTTCAGCTGAATATAATCAACCAGTTGAACCCTACATTGTTTCGCAGATCTTTATTCTCATGCATAAACACGATTTTCCTTCTTTTCATATTGACAGACTCTAATCTAAAATAGGAATTTGCGTCTCGTCTCTCGCACATCTTAGCCCTTTCACGACGCACCGGGTCAGATCTGGCCGGTCGGCTAAACACGTGGGTCTGTTTACAACCGAATCTCATAATTCAATTCACTTTCTGAGAAATAATCATTTGAGCTGAGCCGTGCATGTTCAGAACGTTTGCGAACATGGCTCTCCACCATCTCCTGTCATTTTCAGCTCTTAATAAATTTTATCATGCTGTTATCGCTCTTAATCCCTGTTCCGCTATCCATTTAACTTTAGCTCGCTAGGTAGGTTAGGCATTGTTTTTCTCTGTCCCTCTTGCCTTCTATCTGTCCTGTGAGTACCTCCAAAATTTCAACTGTCTCTTAATTATGTTAAGTATATGTCTCCTTTTGTTTCTATTTTACTCTGCACACATATTCAGTCGATGGTATCCTCAGCATCCTTCTGTAGAACCAAATTTCTGTTGCTTCAAGTCTCTTTTTCATTTTTGAGTATATTGTCCAGCATTCACTGCCACATATGAGGACTGATATTACATAACTGCTCATTTTCTAAAGAAATGTTTCTGTTTCTTAATACTTAACTTAGCTTTTGGAAGGCATCTTTCGCTATCCCAACGCGCCTTCGGATTCCAGTGTCTCACCTTCCTCTGTTAAAAGATTCCCACATATTTAAATTCTCATATGCATGTTAGGATATTCGTTTTGCTAACAGCCATGCATTCTATCTTATAATAGTCCTTTCTTCTCTCTTTCCCACATTACTTTTTGTGGGACTTATTGCAGTTTAACTTTCTGCGCCTGCTACCAGCATTATGTCATCCGCATATCATGATATAATGAATCCTGGTAGGACTTGTAATTCTCCTAGAATCTCCTCACTGTATAGGATGAATAAGTCCGGTGAGAAGGCTCATCCTTGTCTTACACCCCTTTCTATTTTTGTATATCTACTGAATTCATCTTTTATCCGTGTACACGCGGTTTTCTGCTAGTATAGGTTCTATCCAAATATTCTTCCCAAATAAATAGTTTACTTAGCAGTTCCAATAGTTTTTGGTGACGTAGAAGTTTGCATAAAGTCCCTGGAATCGAATATATTTGAAGAGTTCGACTAGCAAGTATTAAAAAGATCACCAAATTCCTAAATGTATATCTTCGTGGATATAAGATAAAATATTGATTTGTAGACATTAATCTATAATTGGCACAATGCTAAGATTTTTATTTTTATAATTTGAACGCAAATTTACTGTCGATGATCTTCCGATCAAGGCACTCTCGAAACATTTTCGTTGTAAATATTTTCTCCTTTGATCAGAGTAGTATTTTTTGTGTCAAAATTGTGGTCAGTGTCGTCACGGTGGGCAACCGACGCATTTGATGTATTATATTGTAAAATGTCCCTTTTGTGTCCATATAATCTTTTATTTAGATTCCTTGATTTTCTTCTATGTATTTTTTGTGACAATCATTACAGGCGATCGAGTAAATTCCTCTTTCAAGTTTTAGCTTATTGTTTTGTTTAGTATTGACTAAGTCTTTTATTGTTTTAGACGTAGTAGTAACAAATTTTATGTTGAGTTTAGATAGATTGTTTTCGATTGTAGATGAGTTAGAATTAGTTGGCAGTACAATGTATTTTTTATTCATTGAATTTGTCAGGAGGTAGCCGTTTTTTCTATTTTGTAATATTTTATGAGTCTTTTGTTTCGCGTTGAATATAAAATAATTAGGGTACTGAAGAAGCTTGAATGGATTTCTCCTCTTTATGTACATATTGAGGGCTGCAAATTCTGAATGCTCTTAAGTAGAATCCGATGATTATACCGGATTTTATTTTGTTGTTATGATGAGAACATGACATTATCGGGCATAAATCTTTGTTTATTTTCTCGATTGGGAAGCTAATGCCAACACCGTTGTTATAGAAATAAAACGCCAATAGCGTCATCTAGTTGACAGGACCTAGTTGATAAAAAAAGAACGGTTATCGACCCGAGAACTATATTTTCTTATGGATCTTGAGCTTCTTTTGTAGGTCGGCGAATTGTGAAATGCCGTTCGAAAATAAGTTATGGCAGTATGCATTTTCCTCAATATATACTGATTTACGTCCATATCACATTGAAACAACGGTTCTCTTGCAATTACCAAAGGTAAGCAATGTTGAGCCTGGTCAGTACCAGGTTGGGTGACCGCTTTAGAGTAACAGGTGCTGCATGTGCTGGTGGGGAAATCGATAACGCCTCGGAATTGGAAATGGGAGAGCTGACTTCCATTTCCAGTTGGGTTCGTTTTATTTACTTAAGTGCAAATAGTCTTGGGAAATGTAAGAATCTACCTCTTCTACCCCGATCTATGGGTTAATTAGTATGACTTATATAAGTAATTCTTTATTATCTGCCCTAAAACTTCTTACACTGTAAAAATATTTTCTGGCTTTAAATAACCTGTAAAAGGTTGGTAAATGGTATGAAATTCATATTTAACATCAGTGAATGATGTCGTTAGTATTTGAAGGTACGTTATATAAGAGTTGCGAACCTGATTTGCGTGAATCGAGCCAATCTTGATTTCCTTTTTTTAAGTCTCCTAAAGTTACAACAGGGCGGTTTTCTGTCAGACCCCACCCCTGGTTAAAGCTAGTCTTTTTTGTTTTGTTTTCGCCTAGTTAATGTGAGTGTCGTTCCCGGCCTCTTTTGATATGATCCTTATGAAGCTTCACAAGCTCCCTAGTTTTTTTTGATTGATTGAATCAACCTTTTATATATTTCCACATTTTCAAATTGATTTGTCCCTACCCCGCCAATAGGGAGTGAGCTTGTTGATTTTGATTTTTTATCATTTCACCCACAGCAAGGCCACAATGTCACTAGAACGCTGGAATGACCAAAGAGTGAAAATGAAAGAGAGTGAGAAGATTGAAAATGGGGAGGATTAAGAAAAGGGCAACCCCCCTCCCCCCCCCAAAAAAAACAATGGGTTTCAAGAAGACAAATGGTGATCGACGTTCCATTTAACATTTCTTTTTTTAGTTATCAGAGAAGCAAGTAAACGGAAGCGTGTTCCACAGGCGGGAAGTGCGATAAATGAAACTATTAGAGTAGAAGTGGCGTCCGCATCTTGTTAGTTCAACAGTAAAACGATGCGACCTAATTGCCAATCTAGTAGCACGCTTCAATTCATGTATTCGGGGAGCCATGGCAAAAACCTCACTCGAGAAGTTGCCACAAAAATATTTGTAGAACATAAAGAAGCTTCGTCAAGTCGGTGAGAAAGTGAGTGGAGACGAGATGCCTGGTCAGAATCGATTGTATTGCAGACCCTTCTCTGGATTTTCACAGTAAGAACACCAGACCAGATATATGGCAACAGTATTCGATACACGGCTTATGAACAGAATACAGCGGCCGCTCTTTGTGTAATTTTTTTGTAATAATTTTTTTTTAAAAAAAGGGGAAAAATATTCTTGTGGATTCCGGGATGAAATCCGGTCTCAAATGAATGACAAAAGCAGGAATGAAATATAGCAAATAAATGTATTGATGCAATAATACAATTGGTAATACGGTTAGTAGATCCAGAAATGCGGTTAGTAGCAATAATAATATATATATAGTCTGGGAAATTCAGTATCGAAGTAGGACTTCATTCTGAGTCTACGTGCTCGCAACTGTGACTCCTACAAAGCGGTTACCTCACTCTCTCACTCTATCAGTGTATCTCCCTCGGGTATTCACCGGTAGCAGTACAAGTACACATTGGTCGAGTCCACTTGTATGAAAAAGGGGTGGACACCATAACAAATATGTAGATCATGGGTGTTTTATTAGGATCCTTGCAAAGATGGAGTATTGTGGTACATGTTGGATTGGATGGAGAAGGATGGATTCTTGTGGTAATTGGGGAAATTTTTAGTGAATGAATCGTGTGTCGAATTAGCTAGATGTAAGATAGTCAACATTGACCACCCTTCCACCAATGCCCCTAGTGCCATAAATTAATGTAACCATGTTAATTAAATAAATATATAGGTTAAAGATAGTGACCACTGACGGCTCATAGTGACTTGATAAGCAACTTGTGGATAATTTTATAATACAATGTTTGCTGGGAACATATTTTTATGTAACCAGTTTAGATATTGCTTTTTGAAATGGCAGGCTTGAAACTTGGCTTTTTGAAATGGCAGGCTTGGAACTTGGTTTTCATTTTCTTCTACATTTTTCTTTGTTTTTCTCTTTTTCATGTAAGTAAATTTTAGGACTTTAAAAAAGTTAACATTAAACAGTAGTTTCCGTCACGACTAATCGGGCTAACCTGAATATTTTAGGATGTAAAAAAGTTAACATTAATCGGGCTAATTTTGGCTCTCTTTCCCACCTCCCTTCTCTTTTTACTCCCTCTTTTTTTCTCTTTCTTTTCACTCGCTTATCTGTCTCTTCTTTTCTCCCATCTCTTTTTTTCTTTCCTATCTCTTCTTTCATTGTCTTCACTTTTCTCTCTCCCTGAAACTTATTTCTTTCTCTTTTTTCTTCTAGTCTTTTACTTCCTTCTCTCTTTTTCCATTCTTCTCCCTGCTTTTTTTCTCGCTTTCTTCCTTTCTTTTTCCTGTCTTTTTTTTTTTACTTTTTCATTACATTTCTCACCCTTTTTCTCTTTTCTTTCTCATCTTTCTATCACTTTTCCTCTTTCGCTCACACTTTTTCTCACTCCTTTCACGCCTCACTCTCTCCCTTTTCACTTTTAATTTCTCGCTCTTTTCTCTCTTTCTCCCTTACCCCCTTTTTCTCTTTTGTCTCTATCTCATTCCTCTTTCATTTTTCCTTAATCTGACTGTCTTTTTTTTCTATTTCCTCTCCCCACTATTCTATCTCGTCTCTCTTTCTTTTTTTCTTTCTTTTCTCTTTCCTTTTTTGTTTCGTTCTCTCTCTCTCTCTCTCTTTCTCTGTCATTTTTCTTCGTTTTCATCTCATTCCTCTTTCATTTGTCTTTAATTTATCTCTTTTCTTCTATTTCCCCTCTCTCTCTCTCTCCTTTTTATTTCTTCTTTCCTTTTCACTCTCCTCTCTCTCTCTCTCTCTCTCTCTCTCGTTCTATCTCTTTACCTTTTTCTTTTTCATCTCCATCTCATTCTTTTTCATTTATCTTTAATCTTTATCTTTAATTTCTCTCTCTCTCTCTCCTTTCTCTATTTCCCATTATCCTCTCTCCCTTTTTTCTACCTCTTCTCTATCTCTCTCCTATTTTTCTTTCTTCTCTCGCCTTCTCTCTCTTTACACTTTTCTCTTCCGTCTCCATTTCATCCTCTTTCATTTCTCTTTAATCTCTCTCACACTCCTTTTTTCTATTTATTCTCCCCCATACCTTTTTTCTTTCTTCTATTTCTCTTTCTTCTTTTCCATTTCCCCTCTCTCTCTCTTTCTCTCTTTCTCTCTCTCTCTCTCTCTCTCTCACGTATATCCTCTTTCGTCAAATATGAAAAGAAGCAGACACAGTTCCGGCTATGAACAGACGCACAACGCCATAGCCTCTTTCCGGAAGTTCACGTCCACTTCCTTATATATCAACTTTGCTTTCGGGTGTTTTTTTTTTTCACGCGGTATCACTTGATTCTCGTGTTATTTTCAATCTTATTATAAATGATGCTCTTCCTGTAAGATTTTTTTTATTTGTTTTGGAGCAAGACATTTTTTCTTGAAACTTTGTCTGTCGGACACAATTTTCTTCATTTTTTTCCCATATTAGTTGGAGTGTAATCATACATCATTCTCATATAATTATTGCATCCAGAAATGACTTTAATCTATTTAAAATCATAGTACGTGTAAATATAATTACTCTTATCCTTAAGGGAAAATTTCATCTCGAGAAAATATTTTGACGTCTAAAAATAAATCAAAAAGTATATTTTATCAAGTTCACTTAGGTGCTTTAATCTTTTTTTCTTTGTCTGGTAACTTCGGTCAAGTTTCTCTTCTTTCTTTTCTGTTTTTGTTGTTGTTTTTATTATATCAAATATCCTACACTCTGACAAAAGATTTGGTAAAGAAGATGAAATGTAAGAACCTGGATGCAAATTTACAATAGAAGACTCAGAAATCAGCACACTTTTTATACATTTTTCCAACATTGTTCTGATGTATAGAAATTTATACATCATATTCTAACCCCATATATATACGATGGACTCTACCGTCGATTTCGGTGTATGAGGATTCGACAACCTCATTCGGATTTTATATTTTTGTCGCATGTAACACTTCAATCCCGCTAGTGACTTGCATACAAGTCCACATATTGTGCAACAGCGAGGATCTCGAGTATAATCTGAGGATTATTTGCTTGCGCATTTCACCGATGCCTTTCGTCTTTTAGCTGATCAATCCAACTGATTTAAAAAAAAAAAATTCTGGTATCACTCTGATACAAATATCTCCAGTTATTTCTATCCAGGGTAAATCACTCGAAGTTAGTATGAGGCACATTCACAGCTGATGTTACTTTTAAACTTGTCTTTATACCTGAGACACGGCCGTCCAACAGTCCTTTGTCCACTGTCAAGCTGGCTATACATGAGGACCTTGAGTATTCTGTCATCACTCATCTTTGCAACATGACTAGGCCAGCGAAGTTGCGACTGAATCAGGAAAGTCTCAATTCCACTAATGTTGCATCTTACGGTGGACTGGTCATGTTTTGAGAATGTCTGATGTCAGGATATCCAAGATCCTAATGTACAGCCAGTTAGATCAGGGTTACAGGAATGTAGGACGCCCATGGCTAAGATACAAAGACAAGCTGAAGAGCAACTTGTCAGCTGTCAATATACCCCATAACACCCTTGAGCGCTTAGCCTTGGAGCGGGTAGAATGGAGATCAACGTGTTTTAATAGACTCAGCAGTTTTCAGTCTGCTTGTCTAAATCGGCTAGAGCAAAATCTAAAAGGTCAGCCAATCTAGCAGTGATCTCATTTCACAATCCTCACACTTGCTCCATATGTGGCCTCCTTTGTAAATCACTAGCGGGTCTTAAATGCCACTTAAGATTATCGCACAAAATTTCATAACTGAATCAATCAAGTTGTCAGATCCTCATACGTCGAAACCGACGGGAGAGAGTCCATTATATATATATATATATATATATATATATATATATATATATATATATATATATATATGGCTTGACCGTATTTAAGCATGAACCAAACTGACGTCGCTGGAAGTGGGCTCAATGTCCATTTTTATATTTACACACGTTCTATCCCAGAAATTGAACACCTTAACCAATTATTTCCGAACTTTCAACTCTTTTCTTGCAGATATAATCTCGCAAGCCTATCGCCAATCTATCGTTATCCCTGCGAATTCCATTCTTTAATGACGCCAGCCCATGTGAAGTTATGAATCCGCCTTTTCTCCCCCAAGGTATGGGTTAATTAGTAAGACGTGTGTCTGCAAATCATCATTAGGGTTGATAAGTCGTAAAAAACAAACCAAATCTACTACTAACTCAAAAATAAAATAAAAACATAAAATTAAACAAAAAAGGTACGTTATTGTATATTGTATTCAAGAATTGAAACACCGGTTCCCGTACAATCATCGAAGTTAAGCAACGTCGGGACCTGGTCACTACCTTGATAGGTGACCATTTGGGAATACCAGGTTCTGTAAGTTGCGGGTGGTGCAATGGATAATGGCTCGGAATTATTAATCGGAGAGCAGAGTTCCAGTTCCTGTTAGGTTCATTATATTCACTTGCGCACAAATCCCCTTAGGATAGGTATGAATCCGTATCTTCTCTCCCCAGGTATGGGTTAATTAGTAAGACTTGTATCACTAAATAGTTATTATCTAAATAATTCTTACAATCTAAAAATATTTTCTAGCTTTAAATAACCTGCAAAAGGTTGATAAACCGTAACAAAGAAATCAATCAAATGTATAAATAGTTACTAAATACGTAGGTTGTGGTCTTCACATTTCCCTCTCCTTGGCACATATAAGCAGTGTTTGCCGCTTCACTAAGCCTAACCTCATTCACTGTTTTGACATTCATTTACACAAGTCCGTTCGTTAGTTTACGTGGTGTTTCCCTCTGGCTTCTGGCTTTAAATAACCTGCAACAGGTTGGTAGAAAATAAATCAATCCATCATTGTATTCAAGAATTCTACCAATTCTACTATATCTACATTGGAATGTCTTTGTTTTCTGTCGATTAGCCTCAAGCATAAAAAAATTAAGGAACCATTTAAACAACTTGAGTACCATTTCTTGAGTACCATTTTTGAGCGGCTCGGATTGAGGAATCGGAGAGCCGAGTTCGAATTCCAGTCGAATCCCTTACATTCGCTTACGTGCTAATGCCCTTTGTAAAGGTATGAAAACTCTTCTTTACCCCCCAAGTTATGGGTAAATAGCAGGACAGACTGGGTTCTATAGCGTTGGATAGCAACTGGTCTAGAAGAAGGACAACTCTGAATTCAAGTCGTTTGGGAACCTTGTGACACGTAGTGCACCAGGACACTGTATTCGGTACTTTAAAAAATGTGTTTGGGTCTGCACCACTCTAATCAAATCATATCTGCTGGTATCTGGATTGTTCCGAGGAACTGACCTGCTTGACCCTCATACGTCGAGAGAGTCCACCACTTCTTGAGTACCATTTCTTGCATAACAAATGAAGAAATCCAGATCAGTTGTTCATAATAAAAATCATGGAATAGATTTAATACACACGCGGCATTTGAAATGTATAGTGATGCACTTATTTATCGAATTAAAGAGTACTTCATGTTTGGATATTGAAAATCGTTTCTGCCGTTAGCAAAATATCGCATTGCTTACCTTCATCTAAAACGTATGAATAACCACTAATGATTAACTTATATAGCATGCAGAAAAACAGTTTTCGCTTTGAAGAAATATTTTCTATTGAAATACCAATAATTATGAGATAAGGAATGACGTATATCAATCAAAGTAGGCCTAAACAGGGAGGAGATTCAAGTCGACAGGTTGGCATGGACCTACCCTCCTTTTTAAGAGTCAAAGAGAAAAAATATTTGCTGAAGAATATCAATATTGTACAGAGAATCTAGGATGACTTTAAGCACGAAATATTAAAGAAAAAAAATGAATGTATTGTATTTCCAGCTTCAGCGTTACCTTTCGCACTAATGCCCTTGGGAAAGGTAAGAACCTATCTCTACTCTCCGACTATTGGTTAAATAACATTGTAAACTGGGCTCACTAATTTTGGCTGGCGGTCAGGTTAATAGAAACGCTGTTTTAAATTCAAAACCATGGAAAATAGAAAACCTCAATATTATATTTAATGGAATAGATAGGTCCGTCTTCACTGTGAAGCTCTTTGCTTGTAGAACTCTCTTCCGGCTTCTTGCAATGCAATGTCAGTTGTTAACTTCTGTCTTCTCATTTCATGTTCTTTTATTGCTCTCTCTCCTAAATATTTCTTCACCTAATCTCTAACACTCAGTAAACCCTTGCGTCTTAGTAGCTTTATTGCCTTACTTGCGGTGAAATGATTAAAAATGTCATGGCAATTCATAGATGTTAATGAAAAGGAATCTGTGGTAAGCCATGGTCATTTGAATCCTGAAAGATTGTTGTCTTATATCCTATATATAAACCTCAAAATCTGTGTGTGTGTGTGTGTGTGTGTGTGTGTGTGTGTGTGTGTGTGTGTGTGTGTTTCTGGTCGTGCCATTGAAAATAATATATATATAAATGTGACTGTGTGTGTGGAAGTATTACGTAAAACTAAGATATAGATGTAATTTTATTTACATTATTTACATCATTCGGACCAGTGGATAAAGACGTTGGTTAGATCCAGTGACTAGACCTAAAAAGAGTTGTGAGTTCAATACCTGGCTACAGTAGTGGTGAACTAAAAAAGAGAGTTGAGTTAAAGGGAAATAACTAAGACACCGGGAAGTGGTATGGCACGTGAAATTAGAACAATCTACTCCGGTGGACGAAGTGAAGGGTTCGGTTCGAAATTCCAATCACCTGAAGAAGGCTCTAGTGAACAACGGCCGAAACGTTGTGAATATGGCAATGAAGATAACAGTCCAAATAATGTAAATAATCATAATACCTCATCTCAAAGATATAGACAAGTGCAATTTTATCGGTTATATTAATCAGCATGTGTCTTATATCATGCGCAACTTAGCTTTTCTGGTTTTATCGAAATAGCTAACTTATTTGTTTAGCTTTGAAAACGAAAATTTAAAAAAAATAAACCTGTTTCGTTGTGTATTTCAAATCTTTTATTTTTATTTTTAGCGATTGTTTTGTTTGTGTCTTTAGCAGTTAAATATCTTCGTTATTCAAATAAACGTTCATCTGTCACGGAAAATGGTAGCGATCCTAGCATTTTGATCACAACTTAAGATTAATGATTTGAGTTGACATTTTTGATAGTGCATTTTGAAAATCTAACAAATCTAAATTTGAATTTCTGAAATATTTTTAAGGATTTGCCCATAAAAATGTGTTACTTGATAGCGAGTTTGCAGGGCTTTTCGGATAATTGGGAATAAATTACAATAAAGTACTTGCTCGATTATCCGGATAACTTGGGAAAGAGGTTGGAAAATCCCGGATAATTGAATGTCTGAAAGAAATTTAACATTTATATAATCAAATAACATTTTTAAACGCCTTGTTCAAGGTTATCTACGATCTACGAAAAAATGTATCAATTTTTGTCCGTTTCCAGCTAACTTTGTCTTTTTATGTTATCAGAAATAGATTGAATGACTTTTATTTATGCTACATTCCCTGATAATAGGAATATATACTTGACAAACACGCTCGATAAATAAAGGTTTATTGTAAAAACCAGTACAATAAGAAATAAGGTAATAGTAATGCGCACGTTCGTCGCAAGTCAATCTAGTAGTGAGTGCTGTTATTGGAAGGTTGGTATTTCTCGCGTAAATCTGAGTTGTACTCAACAGATCCCAGCTAGACAATATTTACCAGCCTTCCTACGAAGTAGGATGTGGCACAAGGCCAAATTTAATGTGAGGCAATCCGAGCCCGTAGGCTCGGCCAAAAATTCCCCGTAACCCCGTATAAACGGGTTCGGATCTGTCTACCTCCTCAGACGAGACTCCGCCCGAAGGCAGAGAGTTTGACAGCAGCCATGATCTGAGTAACAGATCCCTGCTAATATATTTAGCTAGCCCACCACGAGGGTTACATGTGGCACAAGGCCGGTTTAATGTGGGTTCTCCGAGCTCGTAGGCTCGGCCAAAAAATTCCCTTTTTGAACCCGCATAAACGGGTTCAGGGTCAGTCTACCTCCCCGAACGATACTCTGCCCTTCGGCGGAGCCTCGTCCGGGTTCCTCTCCGCCCGAAGGCAAAGAGTTAGACTGTTTAGCTGGAACAGGTCGCAGCTAAACTCTGTAGTCCGTTGAATTACAGCTACTTATAGGCAGTTATTACCTATAGTGTAGTCACTCATCGGGGTGACAGGTTATTCCATTACATCAATTTATATGGACAGCCTCTGATGAGAAAAGTCAACCAAAATTTGACAATTTTTATCAAAGGTTGATGATGGTTTTCTAAAGTTTCAAAACGATTGTCTGCGATGAAGTATTAGAAAACTTTTAGTCCGGATAATTGAAAACTTTTCGGGTGATTTCAATTTTTCTCTTTATTTAAAGTCCGGTAAAATAGGGTACGGTTAATCTAGGGAGTGCCGTGGAAAGAAAATCAAAAATATTGAATTGAAAACTGTTCGGATGATTTCAATTTTTCTTTCTATTTCAAGTCCGGTAAATCGAGAAAGAAAATCAAAGATAATGGGCGGGGGGGTCTCTATATTTCTAGAAACATTTGCACATCTGTTGAACTTCGAAAAGAATAAAATGAAAGCAAAGATTCAATAAAACCGCCCTCAGCCTTGAGAACAGCTTCGATCCAGCATCGGATGGGAATACAGGTCAGGGTTCATTGGTTGTGTCTCATGTTCGCCATTACGTCCATGTTGGATAAGATACGCTTTGTTACTGTTTCGCGTAGCAGTCAGGCACAAGGTCATGATTGGAGCGCATACAATTGTTTAATAAATCCTCTTAAAATAATAAAATAACCTCGATAAATTCGGTTTTGCTTGTTTTGCTGTGATTTTTTTTATTTTCTTATTACGCCACTCGAAGTTTAAAAAAAATTTGTTGTTATTTTGATATATTTAAATTCATACTTTGACCAATCTTAACTTTTTCATAAATTGACAGAAGTATTATAATTTTCTCGAGATTAATTGAAGATTTTTGTACAAAACATAAGTGGTCATATCAATTTTTGCAAAGAGTCGCTCTGGGTATGACGATAAACTACATCCAGCAGCAAGGTCTCTGATCAAGAGGTTTTGAGGAACGTGGAACCACCTCTTAATTGTTGTTGTTCCCAGCTCTACCCTGACCCACGGTTATAGCACCTGTTAGATTCCCAGCTATGGGCAAATAATCCCCAAACTGGGGACAAAATATTATGATAATATAAAAATATATTTTTGTAGTAAAACTAACTACAATACATTTTCAGAAAAAAAATATATTACTAGCAATACATTTGAATCTTGACAAAAACACTCTTTACAAAAATACCCCAAGGAAACCTTATCTACA